TGGCATGGAGTTGGAACTTTGATGAATTTCTGTGTCTCCAAGCTCATTACATCTTATACTTTTACATTCACCATTTCTTCTTGGGTGTTGATTTTAGTTTTGAGGCAACATTTTCTTGATTGATGCAATTCATCTCTCACAGGGACCGCTTGCCCTTCGACGGATAGTTTAACTACTAATTAATATGTGGAAACCTCTGCTTGAATTATATCAAATGACCGACCAAAGATTGCATTTTAAAGTTGTGGCATTGACTATAATGAAGTTGATCATTGTTGTAAATTGGTGGTCGCCTTCTCCCCATATGGTTGACAAAGTTATTACTCCTTAGTGGCATGTTTGCTTTGTTCTGGCTCCGTTTGGGAGGGCTTTTTAAGAGCTGCGCGGTCGTCTGCCGCAATTATTGGCGAAAGTTTCTCGTTTGGTTCGCGACTTCGGGAATTAAATTCGCGGAAGCGGAAGGAAAGTGGGTCGCGGCATTAACCCTGCAGCCCCGCTTTCGACCGAGATTTTTACCCTTTACCCTTTTCTCGCCTCTGCCCTAGGTTCTTCCCTGCTGCTTCCCTCGCGTCCCTTTCTCCTTCTTCTTTCGTTGTCCCTTGATCAACAGAACTCAGGTAAAGCCAAGTCATATATTCTTCATGTATTTTCGGATCTGAGAGGAAGGATGTTCGTTTTTGCGGCTCCTGATGTTTTCTCCTCCTTGTCTCTTTCCTGTTTCTGTCATTTTTCTTTGTTCCTCCTTTCTTGTGGTGGCTCTGTAGCTTAACGAGCAAGTAATGGTTTTAGCTAGGCATTTTGGCACACGAAAAATTGGTTCTTTTTAACTCTTGCTCGAATTGAGCTCTTAGATTTGGAGGAAGTTAGAAATTTGGGATCAAATTGGCATTGTCCATCGAAGTTGCAGATCTTGCACCCATATATGCATGTTTGCCGTGTTTCATTAGATTGTTTTGTGGTTGGAGATTTGCAAGCACTTGTTAATGGAAGATTGTCGTTTTTGCGGCTCCTGATGTTTTCTTCTCTTAACTTTTTCCTGTTCATGCCATTTTTATTTTTTCCTACTATCCTATGGTGGATCTGTAGCTTCACGAAGTTTGCTTTGGCTTGAAATTTTGGAAGAAGAAAAAATTCTTCATTTTTTTCTCTCATGAAATTAGCCCTTACATTTGGAATCAAATTGGCATTGTCCTTCAAATGTGCAGTTATTGCACCCATATATGCATGTATGCAGCGTTTCATGACATTGTTCTATGGTTAAAGATTTGCAAGCACCTGTTAATGAAATATTGTGGTTTTTGCGGCTCATGATGTTTTCTCCTCATCTCTTTTTTGTTTCTGCCATTTTTATTTTTTTTCATCTTTACTGTGGTGGATATGTAGCTTCACGATATTTGGTTTGCTATACATTTGGAAGGACCTGTTAATGCAAGCACCATTTAGCTGGAAGCTGTTTAGATTCCAATGGCCTATATGATGTTAAAAAATTAAGTGTTATCCAAGAAAATATGTAAGTTTATGTGTCTAATATGTTGAGACAAGAATTATGTGGTATTTATGTAAATGCCCTAAGTTATATCAACTTTTGAAGAATTCAAAATGGAGAATTAATTTTATGCTTCTAAAATATATGTTTCTAAATTTTTATATCTATAGATGAATTAATATTTGTATACATTGATATATAGATAAAAATAAATTTTAAACCTATATGTTTTCAAAATTACAAATATTTTTTTTAAATTTTCTATAAAAACTAATATTAAAAACAATATATTTCATTTAATTAATTAAGAAGTAATATTTTTATAAATTTTATGTATATTACACTCATATTTTTACAAATAAATCAAAAATTAAAAACAATTTTAACAAACAGGGGCAGTTTGGTCATTTTTACATGAAACAGCTGACCCACAGCATTTTTCACGCAGCTGCACCAAACAGACAGTCAACTTCCCCGCAGTTGTTTCCCCACAGCTGCTTCCTGGGTCAGCGCAGCTGCAGCTGAAAAACTGAGAATCTGCAGCTGTGTCAAATAGACCCAGAATGTCATTTGTACAGATTTCACTGCAGGTGATCATGCCATAGTTGTCAATTTCACATCTTTCAATCTTAGTTGCTTGAGGTTAGCTTGCTATTTGCTTCTTCAGATCCACCTAAAATGGTTGGCCAACTCCTGCAACGTGGACTGTGCAAGTTGGGATAGGTTTGTTTCTTTCATCTACAACTGGCACTTTGTTTGAGCTCTGATCGTGGTCAACCAATTAAACTAAAAATTTTCTGCCTAAATAAACTCTTCAATTAACTCCTGAGGAGACGATAGTTCTCTATGTTATGACCATGATTTCTATGAAAGACACACCACTTATTCATTCCCCTCGGATGATGGCTGATCTGTATTTGCTTTGTTTGTTGGAAGTACCCTTTAGTCTGGATGGCTTTGACTAACTTGAGTATCATTATGCATAGAAGGATGACTTAAAAAATAAACAGGTGGTGGTGGTGACTCATCCATTGCTCGCACTCACCTTTTCTTTCAAATGGTACTTGCTTCAGCGGACAATAAGTTCATAGGGATTGAAATGGTTGGTGAATAGGTTGGTGGGCTGGCGAGTAGTTTTCGGTCTTGAAAACTTAAAACGTGTATGCTCTTTGGGTGATGGCGTTTTCTTCTTTACTTGGTCCCTATTTTTTGGACTATTTTGCAAACACACTCGCTTTATCATTGTACTCTTTTGCATTCATATTGATGTTGGTGAGTACCTGAACTTTGTCAAAGGATGTGATTGTCTCGAGCAATACGAGAAAATCATTCGAATTTGAGTCCTTAAAAGTCATGAAGAAAACCCTACGCATCAGTGCATTTTTAATGTCTAAAAGAGAGATAAGTGACTCAAAATATGCAGCATGGCCAATTGGATTAGTCTGATCTTGACATGAGTCAAGGTGTAAGAATTTGAATATGGGAGGAGGTTCGATTTTCGTGATACGAGTAAAGGTGTAAAATTTTGAGTCTAGGAGAAGGTTTGATTTTGGTGATTTCTTGGTAGAAGGCGTTCACCAACTGGGGTCTTCTCTCAACTTTACCTTCAGTTTGCTTGGGTTAAGGAATTGATTCTTCTTCTTAGGACTCTTACGGAGTCTATCTACTCCTCTATGAGCTATGTCCTTGTTGCAATTCTCAGGATTTGATCACGGACGCCTTGGATCAGACTGCCTAATCTCTTCTCAATCTTTCCTCTAGTATTTCTTCCATCTTAACCTTCATAAAGTTTCAGTCATCTCTCTAGTATGAGTTCCTTCGGTTGGATCACTGTTAGGCCTTTTTGCAGGTTTTTGAATGTCTCTTTTGGTTCTAAGAATGAGTCCATGCTCATTGCACATTTCAGAGTGTTAAATCTCGTTTTTTCCCTGGGCCTAAGTTTTATGGATTACTTGAATCTTTACCAACTCGAAAGAAAAAAATGAAGTGCAAGAAGGAAAAGGAGATTCAAGCAGAGAATGCAGATTCGTCTTCAAAGGCTCAAGAAGCTACAATGAGAGTGGGGGCCAAGAAAGTTAAATCTTGACCTCTCATCGGAATCCTTTATTTATAGGTAGAAATCTTGAACCTTGAGCGCACCGAGCAAGATTACATGATAAGCAATAGATATAAAAAGGTAAAAAAAGGGCTTGTAGCCTTAATATAGACTTGAAATTGTACTATCAATTGGCTTTTACGAGTCTAAAGATCTCCTAATTGTGTGCACAGAGTGGCCTCTGTGGTCATAGGCAGCATGTAGGCAGCATCTTTGGTCTGATTGATCCATCGAGTTTGTTTAAGTGGAGATGAGGTTGCCTTTGGTGGGCCTGTGATTCTGTGAACTCGCCTCACCATTTGCATTAGTAGCCTAATTTCTTGAACTTTGTTGGGTGGATTCTCCTGAAATTTGACTGCTTGATTTGTCAAACCTGCCTTATTGGCATTATTTTCGGCAGGTTCGTCTCTTGAGGCATACAGGTTCATTTTTCCATTAATGCCCTTGATCTCGTAACCAGTTTCCCTATACCATCCTAGATTGTTTCAAAGGAAGCTTGTAGTTAGCATTCAAAGTTTTGGCTCACATGTGAGATTCATTTTCTTGTAAATTTTCTGGTATGTTTTAGCCATCTGTTCTATCATTTTTGGTTTGAATTATTTATTTTTCGATTATCATGCGAAATTTGAGGAAAAAGTAAAAAATCCCATTTTTATGAAGTATATATGTTCATATTGCACTGGCGGGTTTGACATGCAAAAAGTTTTCCCTATGGACCTCGAGATCCAGTTACATTTTCTCTCTTTGCTCTACTTTGTGGTGCATTGTTTTCTATTTGGATTTTTTGCTTCAACTTTTAAGTTATTTGACAATTTGTTTTAACAAACTGTGATTAAGCAAATGTTTGGAGTTGACTGGTCATTAAGTTTGAGATTGAGGCGTCCAATGAATAATGGTCTTAGGCTATGTATAATCATGATTTTTGAGACAATCTGATTGTCTCAAAAGTGCTGAAAAGCTCTGAAACAAAATCAATTGCGAGATGATGAGAAGACATCAGGAGGTTATTGTAAGGTTTAGGATTATGTTTTTATTGCATAGTATGCGTCGGTACTAGATGATTTCATTGTAACATTCAGGCAAGGAGAACCATTTTTGAGGTATGAAAGTTTTATGGCAAGTGCACTTTTATATGAATGGATCCATCTTTGTGTGCAACATATGTGGTTATGTTGGTCTCGTAGGTTTTAAGCTGTGAGATGCTTAAGCCCCTTCATGGCTTCTGGTAGACTACGATCGTGGCTTTTATTATTAGTATGAATGTTAGCTTGATTGAAACTGAATCACATGAATCATGATGTCTTTCTGGTTGTGTTTTCTTTTTCTCCCTCTATTTCTTTGTGGCATGCCATTCTTAATCTTGGTTGACGCTTTCACAAATCATTTTAATGGAAAAAAAAAAGGACCAAACTATGGCAGACTAGGTGGAAGCAAGAACGTAAAGCCAAGGGAGAAGTGCTGTCCCAACTCAAGTCAGAACGAAAGGAACGAGAACAGATTGAGGCCTCCGGAAAATCAAGGGAGAACGAGATTGCAATCAAAGCAGAAAATGAACTTCAGAAATACAAAGATGATATAAGGCGGCTGGAACGTCAGATAACTCAGCTGAGATTAACAACAGACTCTTCAAAAATGACAGCCTTTGGTTGGGGTTCTAATGACAGCTATGCTTCAAGACTTTCAGATGGAGGAAAAAGTAAATTCGACCATTCAATCAGTGAACAGTTTCATCTCCAGGAGCAGGGAGATGATGATCTACAGCGCGATAGAGAATGTGTAATGTGCTTGAGTGAGGAGAAGTCTGTAGTTTTCCTTCCCTGTGCTCATCAAGTTGTTTGTACAACATGCAACGAGCTTCATGAAAAGCAAGGCATGAAGGATTGCCCTTCCTGTAGGACTACCATTCACCGAAGGATCTCTGTTCGGCACGTCGAACTAATAAGCTAAGTATACTCTCCATCATCATTTAGATTTACAAAATTGAGAATAAAGCTTTGCCCCTGAACTTTTGAACTGAATAATTCAACTTGAATCGAGTTTGAAACAATCTAATTCCTAATGAGATGTATTGATGCATCTGCTGCTTGTTTACGTTTCAAGAATCATTCCAGAAAAATGATGTTAATTACATAATTTTTTTTTAAAAAAAAATTCGTATCTTCATTTTGCTTGTATTTTGAAATCTTATAAAGCACCGTCTGTCTTTTCTAGTTACCCTCTTGCCATGAAAAGTTTTTGGTTTTTCTTTTAGTTTGCATAACATGAATAACTTTTATGAAGCACTAATCTTAAAGAAGAAAAAGGGTGAAAAAGAAATTTCAAAAGCAGTTGAGCTATTATGATAAATTCTAATGCAATTTTATCCTCTCATTTAGCTTTGATAAAAGCTTGGAAAGTATCATGTTTGCCGATATTGCCATTTTTAAATTTATTTTGTATTAGAATATATTAGTATAAAAACAATAATTGAAAAAGCTTTTTCAATAACTGTTTAATAATAATTGCTAATATCGGTCCTGAGCCCCAAAGGAAAAGATTGAGGGTACTTTCAAAATTTTGTAATTTATGCATCCACTAAGAAAAATTTCTGGCTCCGCCCCAGATCGTAATCAAGGTCAAGGCACACAACTATTGACAACATCATGCCCATTTTTTGTCAACATGACATATTGAAGCCCTGGACATCAACATCAACTAAACAAGTAATAAGGTGATCGTGACACCAATTTCAATGCCCACCTTGTCGACCAATGATGAGCTATCTTGATTGCATATACAATCAATGATATTTTAACGATAACTCCAATATCTCAATTTTTATTTTGATCATAGAAGCTATCTTCAACAGTCATATCTACTATATTATATAAAAATTCTATTCAGTTAGGAGGGAGAGCATCTTTGTTAATTCTATTAGTAGCATGCCATGAATTTGTGGTCAATTTCTCTGAGAGGTCAGAGGTGTAGGGATCACTGATAAAGCCTAGCTATTGACACTGGTTGGTTGGGGATGATGAATCTCTTTATCCTGTAATAAATTCTCTCCCCAAGCACAGGAAAAAAAATGTGGGAGAATACTTTTTCTCACATGTTTTGTATTCTACTATTCATTATTAATTTGTAGAAAAAAATATTGTTTAGGATAGGGGTGAAAATGCTCAGTCGAGTCAACCTTATGCTCCTCCTTAAGCTTGAGTTTAAGCTTAATTAATTATTTGAGTTATAGCTCAAACTTAATTCTACCATTTCCAGCGCTTATGAAAGAGGGAAATACTTTTTTGTTAATATAATAAAATATAAATGATCTATTAGGAAATAAATAATAAAAATTATTTGTATCTTTTTTAAGCATTTTAAATGATTTTAAATAAAGTTTTAAATTTTAATATACTTTGAGTATATTTTTTGTTAATATATATCTTTTAAATGAGATGGCCAGGGATCTAACTAGTCAGGTCGTAACGGCTTCAGCTTAAATTATTAGCCCAGCCAGCTTAGTTTTGAGAACTTTTATGAGTTTGAGCTGGCTCTCAACTCGGCTTGGCTATGGTACACGACTAATTTAAGATATGTATATATAGACACATACGAGCGAACTTGCAAGCCAATTTATTATTATTATTATTATTATTATTATTATTATTATTATTATTATTATTATTATTATTATTATTATTATTATTATTATTATTATTATTATTATTATTATTATTATTATTATTATTATTATTACACTTTGCCAAGCCTAGTCAAATTTAAATTGGAGCCTATTTAACACTAGGGCTATGATTGCTTGCTTTAGCTCGAGCTCAACCTTATTGGTAGGAAGCCTGGCTCGACTCTTTCACACCGCCATTATAGCCTATTTTAATTTTTGACAATTCTTGTTATAATCGCAGCATATTATAGCTTATTAAAAATAATAGGTCATGGATATGATCCTACTTGGGATATTTTTCATTATTTTACATTTTATATTTTTATCATAATCCTGAGTTGCTAATACTTTGTTATCAATCCCTAGAAAGATCTATAGAGGGAGCCTATTTAACATTATACAACTTATTAAAAACAATAGGTCTTGAATATGATTTTGCTTGGGATCTTTTTCACTATTTTGATTTTCTAGATATTTATAATAATTATATGTAGCTGATATTTTTTTGTTATTTTCTTGAAATTTCTATAATGGGAGGCCACATAATACAACTTATTAAAAACAATAGGTGTTGAATATGATATTTTTCACTATTTTATTTTGTTAAGAACTTCATCAAAATTATGTGTGGCTGATAGTTTTTCTTTTCTTATTTTCTAGAAATATTTATAGTGGGAGACTATTTCTTATGATATTTATATAAAAGAGGCATTTGCATACATTCCGAACAATTCGAATGTATATACATGTCTAAAACTTAAACTTTTATATTTATATGCACATCACTCAATTTTCAAGCATATATATATATCTAAATATCTATGTCCGTCTGTCTATCTATTTATCTTTGTGTGTGTGTGTGCGCCGCAAGTCGTGGCCTGTTGGTTGGCGGGGTTCACTGTAAGTCCCTTCAGGTCACGGGTTCAATCCTTAGTGGCGTTGAGTTTTCTAATATTTAGGCACATGGAGCGAGCTCCCATCATGAGGTTTAGTGCATGAGAAATAAGTATTTGGGCTTCTGCCAAATATCGATTTTCTTTTTTAAAAAATAGTAAATTATATATATATATTATATTATATTATTATATATGATGCGAAGATGTTATAAATGTAAATATCAAAATTTCAATGTTAGAAATATATGTAAATCATAAAAATTTTGTGTCATGTAACTAAATTGTGGTGTTAAATCCGAAAGTGTCCAGAAACACACTTAAGAAATAGAGCGTACCGGGAGGAAGGAGAAAATGTAGAGAAATATAATAGTGTGTAATCTTTTATTATGGAATGATCCCTGTTTATAGGCATGGGGGTAAATATATTACAGTTACAGTTTTGCCCCTAATCATTAGCTTCTGTGATGGTCACTTTGGTAAATTAGGAGGAAAGTACGATAAAATATAATTACAAGAGCCACCCGACAAATTTTAGTTTGGCGACGGTTTAATTCGGCCGATCGATTGCATCTGTCGCGTGTTGGTACTTGATCGTTGATGCATGATCGGTCGTCTCGAGTCATGCCAACCATCTGGGCTCTCTTTGGATGATCCTTATACCTTCTAGATCGCTGACCGATTGGATGGTTCGGTTCCTGGTCAACCGATCGATGATCGTTATACAAGTCGATTGTTTTTCTTAAGATTCGTGTTGTGTGGTTAGCTGGTCATTCGAGCTTTTTCCTCATCCTCAGAATCCAACAGGAATCTGCCAACTTCTTCCATCTACTGCCATTTAGGGTTGACCAATTTATGCTTCATAAACCTTTCAATAGCAAGTGAACTGTCAACCTCAACCTAGCGGAAAAGACCCTCGACGTGCTCCTCCTGAATAATCATCGAGGATATTCTATCTTTCATATCATTGTTCTCCTTCATAAGAGTTTCCACTTGCGCTCTGTGCTCCAAGGCCTCCAATTTTTGCTCCTCCACAGACAACTTTAATCTCTCCTCAGCCACAAAAGCCCTTCATTTTAGCTTCTGAACCCGCAGGGAAGATCTCTCAACTTGCTCCTCAGCTCTATCTAGGAGAAGAGCATGGAAATCCAGGGCTTCCCAGATAAGGGTACGACACCGGTCAGTTGCTTGAAGCATGTCTCTCCTATCCATCAACCTCAACATCTTCTCAAAAGCTGGGGACCAGAACATCTCCAACCAGGTCGATGGGTAAACCTCATTCAACGAAGTACTAGGAAACCACTTCGTCTCCCAATCAAGGATTGCATAATGGACACCCGTCCATACTCCGGCCTCCGATCATGTGTAAAAGACCACTCAGACAAAACATCCCCTTTTTGGAGGAGGGGGCAAAATTTATAGCTAGAGTCAGAGCTTTCCTTCCCTTTGGGAGGTCTCTCTCTCTATTCTCGTGACTGCACATGTTTCTACCTCGGATTCAGTCCTGATCGAAACAAGATGGGAGGTGAGACTTGCCTTGGCCCGCTCTTAAAAACCCACAAATGAGGTCCCCACCAGAAGTCATTGCAAGAACTCCACTAATCGATGGATGAGCCGGTGAAGCAAAAGAATCATAAACACCATGGGTCTGATAAGGGCCCACATCGCTCCCTTCAAAAAAAATCTAACCAACATACATAAGTTTTATGTGTACTGATCGCGACTTTATATATGCTTAAAAATATAAGTATTTAATACTGCTGCTAAAAGATTTAATCTCTCAACAACTGTACCAAAACTTAATAACAGTTGTAAATTCGATAAATATGAACATAATAAATATTCAATAATTGTAAAGTCACACTTATCAACGCAAGTATACGTATCGCTCAAGTAATATATGACTCTAATTGAGTCCTAGATATTGATCCCATAAGGAGTAATATTAGAACTACGAACTAAGATTTTAGAAAAGTAATACTTTAATTGCAACAACGAAGTTCAAATTGCTTATCTGTCACTAATAGACAATTGAAATAAATATATAATTTTAATAACTATTAAATAACTAAATATACTAATGAAGGTTTAAATGTGATATTCAATATAAGAAAACATCTTTCTCATTGCCAAGAAATTATAGTGAATAGATAAAGTGAATTAGTTCAAATTATATTGTGCCAAATAGGAGCATACTTATTCTTTACTCTTTGGTCCAGACATAAAGAACATTGACTAATCCTACGCTTGTTTACTGAATCTGC